TGATTAAATTGCAGAGAAGGCCCTTATGGAAATTAATTGCAGAATTTGTGGATGCATTTAATCAGCTGGATCTGACAAAACATATTCTTTTCAGAATTACAAAAGAAAGGAACTACTGATGGTGTTTTCATGCATTATTTTGAGACCAGAGTGTCACATCTACAATCACTATTACATTATTTCTCATAAACTAGAAAATCTTCTGGATGAGAAGTTAGTCAATATCAAATGTAAAGAGAATACCAGTTCTTAACCAATGAGGCAGATGAAAGAGTTACTAAAAGACATAGAATTGAAACATCACAATCACTAGTACTAGAGATTACACATGACTAGCCAAATTACAATGGCAAAAACTATTCTCCATTCAATTCTTGAAGATTACCCATTTCTTTGTTATTATGCAAAGATTTCACAAGTTTTGGAGCAGCTTCAATGTGCAGATGAAGAATGGACTGAGAAGCACATATACATCTATTACTATTACTATTGGAAAATCATAGGAATATTCATCAGATGAAAAAAAGCAGTTGAATGGTATTAAAAAGCTTGGGCTCTGATGCTGAAATCATTTTTTTGTATTCTTCTTTGTTTAATTGTTTATCAACTGACAATATGTGAGGTGGGTCCATTACAATAGGAGTAGAAAACATAATGATAAAACATCATCAGTCATAAATAAGTTATGTCTTAGTTAAAGAGCATTAGCGGGAGATGACGACCTTTTCGGTGACATAATTCCGGTAGGCGTTTTTGCACCAGTCGTTATTTTTTGCCACAAATCAAAACTATTAATAGACAGCGATGATACATTGTATTGCGGTGATGACTAGTGCGTAATTCGGCAGTCCAAATAACAATTTTCTGAGACAAGAAACGACAGTTTGTATATATCCAAAGCAAAAATCCTCCCACTCCCCATTTCCCAATTTCCAAAATTCCCATTCCCATTAGTTCGCTTCCCCCACGAATGTGCGAAAGTTTGTTACTAATATTAATAGACGTCGTTTCACTTTTATGTGCTGGCTGGAAATTTTCTGGGTATTGGTAAAAACGTGACTTTACCGCAATGCATCAAAAACGAAACCAAAATTTGGGGTGCTTATACAAATCGCACATTCTCTATTACTATTACTATACTAATACATGTCATGTCATGCATGTTATTATTATAATAAAATTATGAAGTCAACCTTAATTTTATATTGATCATATACTAATACAGAACAGTAAAGTAGTTTCAATGAAAAAAAAGGGAAAAGTTTTTTTCTCTAAATATAAAAGAATCTTAAAAAAAAACAATGTGAAACTATACAAGTATTGTTGATAAAACATTGTCAACTTTTACATACTAATACTTGGACTGCATCAGATTGATGGCAATGGTTACTATTACTATTACTATTACCCGGAGAAGTGTATTTAACTATCTAATCATTATAATTACCCAGCAACTTACAGGCTTGCAGTAGTAGTAGTAGTAGTTATTATTATTATAGTATGTTTATTATTATGTGTTGTTCCATAAATATAAAGGCATAGAAATTCATATTCAAATCATAAGCAGGCAACATGCTTTCATAACTTGTAAATAATAAAGTAGATATGGTAATAGAGTTGGCTTAAACAGTTGTTTTAATTCATATTACTATTCATATTGATATTACCAAAAATTTCTTGATAAACAACTCCACCTGTACATGTAACTATTGCATCCAAATTTTTAAAACATTTAGAAACAACTAGCCTTGATGGCACAATGCTAATACAATGAGTGAGATATTAATAATAAATAAGTGGTTGTATGTGCATTAATATTAAATCCAATCTCCTTAACTATAACCTCAAAAAAGTCAGCATAATAATAATCTATATATCTGATTTGATCACAGGTTTTCATAAACCTTTTTAATATAGTATTCATGTTATAGTTAAACACCAAATAATACTCCTGGGATGGCAATTGTATCCTAGTGATCCAAATATTGTCTTGTGTTAAGATGTTTGAGTATTTTTTAGTCAGCTGTTTAAATAAATAATTATAGTTATTACTAAAATGCACAATTTAAATTATCAGTGAATGTTGATTCTCTGAATAGTTTATCTGTAATAATAACAAGTTCATCATTGCTGTTTATATTCTGAACATCTACTTCAGACAGGTTTAGCTGACATGCTGCTTTTATGTATTATGGTGATGGCTCTCATCAAAAATGTTCCCATAATATTAAGCATATGACTGCTCCATAGCAGAAGGAAGAAAATCTTGAATACGAGATTTGGGTCGTAAATCAACAATTTTCCCTAATTCAAAAGGTGAGATGCGCCTTTTTGCGAGTGGCCTTCGGCATCATTAACGGGCAACACTAACATTAATAGGAATTCTGTGTACTGCAGATGTAGTATCACATACTCAACGATATGAGTGTCATTTGGATATTCCAGAAACAAAGCTTCTTATGGGACTGAACATTTGGACTGTTTCTTTTTCTCTTCCGAAAAGTTGCCTTGATACAACGTACGATCGCCTGTATGAGTTCCGTAGTCCATACTATTTATTAACGTCGCGTTGACATTGTTGGAAAGAGGATTCTGGTACAGTAATAGTACAATGCTGCTCTGCCCTTTTTCTATATAGGATTTCTGAACTTATTGTCTTTTTCATGTCGATACGTTCTTCCATTTGACCGGTCAATACATATACAATTCGTCCCGAGAACTTGATTATGGCATACAACGGTTATAAATATTTACGGAGATTTGATACATTTATATCGAAATATGTAAGAAAAGGCGGAAATCTAAATCCACTTTCATATTCTTACAATGAAAGTGGTGTCTCAATTTCCATGTTTTGATGTATGGTGTATTAGTATTAAAAGTTGTGACTTCCATATGGCCCTTCTCCCATTTCCTTTGAATTATTGGGTGTGTATGCATATGGTTTGGATGTAATAGTAAGATTATAAACGTCAATATGACCTATTTTTAAGATGGTCTTTATAAGAAATGGGCTAGCACACGCAGTGTTGCTGAGACGGAGACGGAAGCCGAGACGTATTCCTATCTGAATTTCTGCGGATCGTATGGTGTCACCAACATTTCCGAACTTTTCTACTAAGCCATTAACCCCAACACATTCGTACAGTCCATAATATTTCCATTTATGCAGATCTCTCGCAATTCCCATTGGTCAAATTTGACAAATGCAGGATCACGTTCTGCTCCCGACAACCGGCGTTAAATTTGGTACTGACAAGTTGTTGGGCTCATCGTCAGCGAACGCAAAGGCAGGATATGAAATTGTCCTTCGAGACGGAACTGGATATCTGCAATGCTTTTTATATGGCAGATTTGTACGTTATGTGGATTTATCGACTTGATGCGTATTTCATTAATTCATCTTTTCTAATTGATTTAGTGTCATTCTTATTTATAAACACGTTTCCTATTCTCTTATAAAGAGTCTCTATTTCTTAGGCATCCGATAATTATGAGCCTAATGAAGCGTTCACTGACCTGGAGCTGATCCTCCAGTCTTTGTACGATTTTTGCATTTGGGGAAAACGCGTCTGCCACTCTGAAAGTCGTTCGTCAGTGCTGAAATCATTCGCTTCCAAAGGTCTTACCGAAATTGCCCCCCCCCCCCGTCCATGGTGCAAACACAGGTAGAAGGCAAAAGCACATTGTTTGGGCTACAATATTACGACAAAATGGTTTGTTTTGATAATGATACTCAAAAGTAACTGTTCTTGCAGTATACACCGTGCTTACACGTTATCCGTTCACAGGTATACCTTGCGCAAACCGCACAACTATATCTGGAAACTTGCCTTCCGTCCCTTGGAGACGTGGATACTATTTCCGAGTCATTCCGGGTGAGTGATGATAGAGTCCTCGTTTTATAATACTATAGTCTTGATCTCATTGATCCGTTACTTTGTAGATACATCCATGTAGTGGCCTTTATTACATTTGATCATCTACGCGAAACAATAGAAGACATGACGTTCGATGTTGTTGATCGGTTTGCAAAACTCGTATACTCATTCTCGGCGCATACCGATATCATCTCGCCATCAACTACGTTGTATCACTACGGGTTAAATACGATGCTGATACTCCTGCCGTATATTTAATGACGCGTTTGAAATCGGAACAGATGTTTTTTCTCTATTGCCGGATTTACACGGTAAATATGCTATTCTCTGTTGCGCCAGATAACAATCATATTGTGGCGCATACTCAACTGTAGTTATGTCAATACTTGTTCTCAAAGATTATAATTTGTATAACTGGCTTATTAGATTAATTTAATGTTTCGAAGAAATAAACACAAAATCGGCCTTTTTTGCGAAAGTAATATGGCAATTTTTGTGCCTTATTCGCAAGACCCTTCATTTGACTGTTGCTCTGCATGCTTCACAATTCGTAGATCTACAATCATTTCAGTCAAAGCGCGAGGCGATCGAGATATCATGATTATCGATAGGGGAGAGTGCATTCCGCAGAATTGTGTTTGTGTGGTGAGTGGCCATTGGAGAAAGGGCGGAAACGTGTGATAGTTAACTGAGGGGTCAAATAAAGCCAAATGTAAGGAATATTAACGGAATGGAATAAATTGAACAGGAACGTTATCGGAATAATAAACACAATACCAGACAAAGGGATCACGGTTAATGGCATTCGGCGTCCTCCGTCAGAACGTCTGATGAATAGTCTGGTGGATACTTTAAGCTTATCCGACAGATTGGTCGAAGGAGATGTGGTAAGTGAATACTAGCTTCTCTAACTGGAGAAATATATTAGGCGCGTAAAAGAAGTAACGGAAAATTATTTTGACTATCCAAAACAGTTCTTTTAGATGAATTTTTTATTGGTTTTGCTGAAGGAGATTCATCCATGAAAGTAGCGGATAACTTGCATGCGCCACGACTCAACCGGGAGCGCCTACACCCCGGGCGGGCCTATGAAACATTATCAAGCCTTTGTACTCCATCACAATTTGGCGTACGAGTTATTCGATTGTTTTTCGGTCGGTCGTACGTTCAGGCTCTTTTTGGTGGTGCAGCTGCGATGGCCGATGCTGTCGTCGTCTATTTCTTTTCCGCTATCATGGAAACCCAACGACATGGTAAGTAGCTCTGTCAGGGATGTGTTCCTGTTTGTGTAAGACAAGTCTGTAATACTAGCATTTCATTTAAATGCGGTCCTTGAAGTGTGAGCAGACACTATTGCAATGTTTGGAAAATGTCTGTATTAATTATGATTGTTTGTACCCATTAACAACATTATTTCACTGCTGACCGTACCTCTTCGTTTCATAACTTCTAGGATCAGAGGACTCACGGGCGTTCAATCAGTCTGGGCCATTCACGTGAATTTTCCGCGAAGCTGTAAAAAACGCGATACAAGAGAGGAGATCTAATGAAATTTGTACAGGTAAAGAGGAAGAAGCGTCAATGGAAAGTGGGCAACAGGATAGGATTATAAGGATTGGATTAAAAGAGACGAGGTGCTTATATATATTTTGCCGATTCAATTTATTTTTTTTTA